TGTGGTATTATGACTTTTTCTTGCAGTTGCATGCTTAGAATAATGAAAGCTAATGATTCCAATCTTTAAATTAGTGCTATTACATTACTAGGCATGAGAATAAAGGATTATTTCCCCCTATAAAGGAATGGATTTAGCTGCAGCTATCCCTCTAGTGACGTCACGTTTAGCCACACCCACTGACAGGAAGTAACCTCGCAGGAAGGGAAAATGGGCATTTTTGAAGGCTCATATCTCAGTGAATAATTTTTTTCAGACAATGGGAGTTGGAACACATCATTAGTATGGTCAGGCAATCATATTAAGCAAATAAAAAAAATATCTCAAAAATGCACTGAAGTTACCCTTTAACTGCTACAGCTACATGAAATTGTCTGACTCACTTGTAACTAAGGCCTTTTTACATTGCTTTGCATTGAAGGTTTTTGCATTATTACTAACAACAAGCTACTGCATTTACTCATGTACTGCTATGTGTACATATGTGTATTTGGTGTCATAATGATGTCTATTTGAACAATATGTATTTGCGAGCTTGCAGTGAGCACTTGCAGTTAGGGCTGTGAGGTATTGAATGTAGTGATACTTCGGTACGGTATTGACAAAATACCCTGGTATTACTAAATATAATAATTTATTTTAAAGTAGTACATAATTTTAATAAAAAATTAATAATTTACTTAGAAGCTAATAATTTACTAAAAATCAAATAATTTACTAAAAATTTGATAATGTTAATAAATTTAATCTCAATCTTTTAATTTTAAATGTAAGTGATGCATGTAAGAGATTTTAAAGGTCAAGATTTGCTGACAGAAAAACTAGTTGTTGCACTGTGTGAAAGCTCTAAACAGTGTCACAATCCTGCCACACCTACTAAAGAGTCTTTCAGAGGTGGTATTTGTGGTATGAAAGCACAAGTATTTGCAAGCAACACCTGATAGGACAGGATATACAGTCTTATTTTCCTTCTACCACTTCAGAGGATTCGTCTCAATATCTGATTTTGGTTGCCTTAGATAATTGGCAAGTTCAGCTTGAACTTTCTGTTCAGGGGATATATCTAAGCATGATGAATCAGCTATATCAGAATTGTGCTCTTTAAACAGAGTTGCTAGTATAACTTTCTTTTTTGCAGGTGGTGGTAAGCTGTCTGTTGATGCTAATGGTGTTGAACTAGTAAGCTCACTTGGCTGCTCAGTCTCCTCGTTAAATATCTTCACTGCTTCTTCACAAATGTTACTCTTAACTTCTTCGAGATTTCAAACATGCCTTTCTTTAAAACGAGGATCAATCATGGAAATTAGTTCCAAAATAGTGGTAACTTCTGGTTCAACATACCTATCTGATAGATCTGATAATATGGCAGAACGTATTTTTTTTGCCATAGGTTTATTGTTAGGATTTTCTTTTAAAACTGAAGACTTAAGTAGTCTCAGAATGGGCAGAATCGAAGAACCAGTGACATACTTTTCTCCAGACATATCTGTAAAATCAGCTAGTAGTGATAGAGCTTCATTAGTAGCACCCCAGACATCAATGTCCTGCCAAGAAAGAATTAGATGAGATGCTTTTCTGTCAGAGCTCAAAACAAATATAATGGCCTGTTGTTGCTCTAGAATCTTAGCTATCATTTTTTGTGTTGTACCCCACCTGGTTTTAACATCCTAGTACAAGAGAAAACAATAAATGAGATAAGCTACAGTTGTTTCATGTTAGTTAGTGTTGGTAATGACATAATGTAGTATTATATGTAGTGTATACTGTATTGTTGTGAATGTGCATACCAATACTGGTATTGTACAAGTACATTATCACTTACAGATATTAGTGAGTATTGAGGAAGTTTAAAATTTACTTGGGCATGGGTAAGATCTAGTCTTTTTTTCCAACTGCATAAAAATGTGCTGACTATCTTTTTGGCGACACTATCACATCTTCTGTCATTGTCGAGTGCTTTTGTACGTTATGGTCAAAGCATGATATTTTGGTCAACCGTAAGTTTCTGGCAACAGAAACCATGTTAGTGGAACTGTCAGTGGTTAAGCAGACTCGCTTAAGAGCAGAGAGTTTCCATTCTTGAAGAGTGTTTTCCAAAGCATCGCTTATCACTTTAACTATATGGTCATCAGGTAGAAAGCTAATGGAGAAAGCAATCAACTCAAGATCCCAGTCTTGCATTATGTGATTTAGAGTGTTGCTGATATAGGGAGTTAATCCAATGCTTGACCAAATATCAGTTGTAGTTGCAAAATATTTCACAGTACACAATCTTCTAGCAACCTTTTCTTTTGTAGATTAATACAGCTCAGGTATGATACTTCATGAGAAATGAAATCTATTTGATAGCTCATTCCTGATCAGTATTCAGTTCTCAGAATCCTTCTTTTTCAACTGTGTATAGTCAGTTTCATTTGAGTTGCCACAGGAAGTAAATCAATGTTTGCATCACAAAACGTCATTCATAGCCACACCCAAAATGGTGGCAACGTGCAAGCAAACTCTTTCATTGAGCGTTTCTTCACCTCTAAGACCTTTTATTGTCTATTTTATCCTTGCTTTGGATACTACTACCTTTCATTATCACTGGCTGAACTTTTTTCTGTTACAAAGCTGACAAAGACCTCTAATACGGAAGATAACAACCTAGGTTGAGGGTGATGAAGAATAACGGTGATCAAAAAGGTTGTGGATAAGTATAGCAGATGTTTCCCAGTAGTATAGACTGCTAGTTGAATGCCTCCTTCTTTAGAGGACCTCATCTGTCTGCTTTTATTTTATAAAATAAAAAACATTAATTTTCTTAAAATAATAATAAGATGCAAATTATATTCACGAGTGTGATGTAGCATAAACGTAATGATTCATTATAGCGGCTCCCTTTTAACTAGAGCGGAAGAACCCATTCAGAACCTTCCAGAGTACCTAGACACTCAAAAATTGGTACAGATTTTTGGAAGAACCTATTATGCAACTATACCAAGTTTCAGGTTGCTAGCTTTAGTAATAAAAAAGTTATTAGGGGTGGTGCTTGGGTAACTCAACTGAAACCGACTATAAATCAGTAGACCATCTTTACAGAGGAAGCACGCTATGGCAGTATTCAAATCTTTGTACCGTTGACTTTGATGACCATACGGTTGACTTCTTAGTATAGAGTTGACTATTGGCTCTTGTCTTTCTGTCACAGCTACTTGCTTTCCTGATGAGCCCTGGCCCAATTGGGTATAAAGTCTTTTATGATTGTTTTTTTAAAGTGAGCTCTCAAGTTAGATGTGTTTCCATTTCGAGCAACAACTGCTCGGTTGCAAGATTTCCTGTCCCGTCGTCAACAGCCATGCTTTTTGCATCTTTTCTTAAGCCAAAGAAGTTCCATACCTCACTCATTGCTCCAGGTTTCGGTAGATAGTGACAGTGTTCTTCCGAAAGCACAGAGAAATCACCCATGACACTCGACATGCGGTAGGTAGGGTAACACACGGCACTACTAACGAACCTTCTACCATGGGTACTTGCAATTGACCAATCAGATCGCGTTATACGAGGTAAATATAATCGCTTATTTACCTCGTGGAGGTAAATATAACCAACTTATTAAAGTTGCCAAACAGGTTTTCTTAGTTATTTACCTCGCGGACAGCCCGGGAGCAAACAGGTTTCTAATTATTTACCTTGAAGCATAGCTATGGTGTAGTGTTGTTTGAGTTAACTACAACTAAAACTAAAACCCTTTTAGTTAGGCCAGATTTACTTTTAGTTAACTAACTATAACTAACTAAAAATATTTTAAAGTTTAAAAAACTAACTATAACTAACTAAAAGTATTATAGAATTTGCAAAACTAACTATTACTAACTAAAATGGCTAAAGTTCAAACTAAAACATAGAAGTACTTATTAGTCTAGCACTTCACTACTTGTAGCTAGTAAAAATGTTTTAGGTAACTATAACTAAAAGTAAAACCCTTTTAGTTAGGCCTAATTTTACTTTTAGATAACTAACTATAACTAACTAAATCTTTTAAAAAAATTCTTAAACTAACTATAACTAACTAAAAAGATTTAGAAATATTAAAAATTATACTAAAATCAAAATCTAAAGTTCTATAACTAACTATTACTAACTAAAAGTCTCATTTTGTAACTAAAACAACACTACTATGGTGTCTGAAGTAATCATTTTTAGCAGAGAAAGCAGCAAAGAACATCGAAAAGAAAGGAATAGAGCCTTAAAAGCATTGGGCCATGTGATAAATTTCTTAATAGGTGGAGTAGTATTGGAAAGGCGTGTTCTGGGCGTTTTTTACTGTACACACATGGCGTGAGTGGAGAAGAGATTTTCCCGTTTCTTTTAAGAAGATACAAAGAAGTAAAGAGGCCTTGTGCTTTTATAAAGCCTTGCTAATCATGGGCAGTTTTTTAGCTACAGATTTGGCATGGTAGAAATCTGTTATACACCTTGGTCTCGGTTGCTATGGATTTATTTACCTCGGGACTGCGTCCCTTGGTAAATAAATTCCATAGAAACCTCGACCTCAGTGTAACCTATACATATATACCGTTATTTACAGTATCTAATCTCGGTATTGACAGTGTAACATTGGTTTTAGTAAGTGATACCATAGATACTGTATACACATAGATATGAAACACGGCCGGACCAGATGTTCAAAGGCGTGTTTCACAGGAAATAAAAACAATGATAAGAAGCGTTACTGTATACTAGGTAATTTTTGAGATGTATAAAATTTTGTTATTTTGTGCTCACCTTGAATTCACAAAATTTAAACCAACTCTCATTCTATTGTATGTAGACTATGGCCAGAACACGAAAATTAGCTCACAAAAATATTAATTTTTGAGCACATTTTATTGAAAATGTGAAATTTTAAACACTCGAAAATTTGAATGCATACGGTATTATTATAGTAATAAAATTAGAGATTTTATGTACAATAATACAATAAAACTTGACATTTATAATGCATGATAATTACTGAAATTTTCCTTTTCTTTTAGTAGTCTACCAATGCATGACTTTCCCATTTCTTGTCACCTAAAAATGATTATTTGACAACACAATTGCACTAAAACTAAAAATACACTCCTTTTAAGAATAGGCCCACTTACAACTACATATTCTTATGCTACAAAACCATATAAAAAAATTTCCAATTAAGTAAAGTAAGACAAAGAAAATTGGCTAGAAAGGTGGGGCTTGAAAAACCAAGGTTTAAAAAATAGCAACTCTTCTACTTGACACAAACTCTAAATAATAGCCCCACTACAACTAGTAAACAATAACCTATCAGTGCAATAAAAAATGTTGGCCTAATTCAACAAAGTTAAGCTAAAAAAGGGGCTCGAGTGAAAATGTCAACAACAGTTGGCTATGGCATCCATTCTAGAACTAAGATATGCAGTCAAGCTATCTTTTATGAGCATTATTTGAATATTTGAAGGCTTTTCAAAGTCCTTTGAGGGATCATTCAGCTACTTTAACAAACTAATAGGCTACTGTGATTGCTTTACTTACCATGGCAACCATGAATGCAGCGAAACACAGGTAAGGATAGCCGGATCCGATGTTTATGACGTTTCCTTATGAGAACTTATTTGTGTGTATAGAGGAGTTTTATATCCCTGTGTATACAGTATTTATGGTGATACCATAGATATTATACGTACATGGATTGGAAACCCAGCAAAAAAATCTTACGTAAGATCTTATTTAAGATCTGAATAAATCTTTTGTAAGATCTTGCCTACCATTTCATGCCTGTTCTTGCAAGATCATTAGACAAGAAGTTCCAAAATCTTATTAAGATCTTATTAATAATCTTTCAAGATCAGACGAAAGTTCTGACAAGATCAGGTAATAGTTCTGGCAAGATCAGACGACAGTCCTGATAAGATCAGGCAATGGTTCTGGCAAGATCAGACGACAGTCCTGATAAGATCAGGCAATGGTTCTGGCAAGATCAGATGACAGTCCTGATAAGATCAGGCAATGGTTCTGGCAAGATCAGACGACAGTCCTGATAAGATCAGGCAATGGTTCTGGCAAGATCAGACGACAGTCCTGATAAGATCAGGCAATGGTTCTGGCAAGATCAGACGACAGTCCTGATAAGATCAGGTAATAGTTCTGGCAAGATCAGACGACAGTCCTGA